CAGGAAAGGCACAAAGCTACACACACACACACACACACACACACACACACACACACACACACACACACACAAAGAGTTTTGTTCTAAAAATGGGTGAGGCAAGAGGTGGGATATAGTACAGCTCAGTAATAGAGCCTAGCATCCAGATGCCCTGATTGCAATCCCCCTTAATAAAACAAAGGAGGGAAGAAAAAAAATAGGCACACATAGCACTTTGAATGCATGTGTACACATGTATAAGTGCATGTTAGAGTGTGTATGTATACATGTTTGGATCAGAAGTCAACCACAAATGTCATTTCTTAGGTACCAGCCATCTAGTTTTTGGAGACAGGATCTTACACTGGCCTGGGGCTAGCTGATTAGACCAGCTGGCTAACACCAAGGATCCACCTGTCTCCACCTCCCCAGTGCTGGGACTCTCAGTGTTTGCCACCATGCTCAGCTTTTTTCTCCGTGGGTTTTGGGGCTCAAATGCAGGTCCTTAGGCTCACACCGTAAGCACTTTACTGAGCCGTCACCCCAGCCCCTAGGCAGTACTTCTCAATACTAGACAAGTCCTCGCGGGGTGCGTTTGTTGACTTATATACTATGCCTTTGTTTTTGAATCGTGTGTCTGTGTGAGATGACTGCAGCATATGGAGGTCAGAGGACAAGTTTTGGGAGTTGGCTCTTTCCTTCCATTGTAGATTCTGGGGATAGAGCTCAGGTTTTCAGGCTTGTTCAGGAAGCACTTTTACAAGTGAGCCTTCTCCCCAGCCCTATTTATTATTTTTATTACATTACTCACTTACATTTCTTTATGTTAGGCAGTATGAGCGTGCTCTTCATTCATTTCTCAACACCACAAAATAAATAGTGAGCAAATAAAACTATGATAATAAACCCTATGTGGTAGTTCTCAACCAGAGACAAATTTGCCTCCCAAATGGCATGTCTCAGTGTCTGAAGTGGATTTTGACTGTCACAACACAGAGAGGAAAGGGTCAGAGCATGCTACTGACATCTAAAGACTAGAGGTCAGGATGCTCCTAAAACGTCTATATAGAATACCCCACAACAAAGAATTTCCAAGTCTAAATTGTCAATGATTCTGAGGTGAAGAAGCACTGTCCTAACTAAATATGGCAGCTACTGCAGGACTGAGATCCTGTTTTGTCAAGGTTTATTTATTGGGGGTGGAGGGTATTGGGTGTTCATGTCATAGAGTAGGTTCTCTCCTTATACCTTCTACCAGAAATAAAAGGGTCTCCCCTGGTATGTCTGCCATTGGGTGCATGGGCGTCCAGCAGAGTCTCCTCCTGTCCTGTAGAACTACAGATGGAAACCACCTCATCTGGCTTTTTATGCTGCTGTCATCAGGCTCATGTGGCAGGTGCTTTTTCTGACTGAGCCATCTCCTCAACTCCAAGCAGACACTTTTAAACCCTCCCAGAGGTGCCCGGCACCACATCAAGGACACAGGCATCTTTTACCTAGCACTTCGACATCCCAGGTGCTATCCTAAACCATGTGCATGGCAAATAAAATATACAGAGTCCCTTTAATTCTCAACAAGAAAAGCTTTGAGATAGGTCCACTATTATCCCCATCTTCCTGAAGAGGAAAACTTGCCCAAAGTCACACAGTTATGAAAGATTCAACACAGGCCACATGACTCCAAAGGCTGTTCTTATCAGCCTACCACACTCCCTCACCTAACAGAAAGAAGTCTTGATTCAAGGTCTTTGGTCTGGATCACCCCCCTCCCCCCACTTAGCCTTAACTCTTAGTCCCTGGCCTTTACAAAGGGTTTGCAAAAATCCTATCAACAGGGAAGAATAAAGAATGGGCAGTCCTGATAAAATTCAAGAACACTCTCTGGCTCCATAGCGTTCCCAAGGAATGGAACACTGCAGGAGTTCTGGTGTAACATGATGTCCATCCTCTATTATGACAGCACCAGCGGATGACTGGGGGAGGTACTTCAAAACCTGGACACTAACATGTATGCCTGTTAGGAGCTGAAGGGGGAGGGGAGTGGGCATCGCTGCTAAGTAATGCCCTGTGTCTTCTGATTAATAAACCAGCTCCTTTCTGGACCAGATACAGGAGTCCCTTCTCCCAATCCCAGTTAGAATCAGGGATGTGCCTCAATGGGACAGCACCTGGGCACCATTCTCCAGACCCTAGGTTCCACTGAGGCAGAGAGAAACTGAGAGAGAAGGCATTGACTGCAAGGATGTAAACTCTGGGACGATCAGAGAAGTCAGTGCTGGACAGACACTCCCTACAAGCCCACCCTTACCATCTTCAGGCTCTGAGGGGCAAAGTTTCAAGAGGGATGAATTATCTGGGATGAGGTTGAGGCTGCTTTGTACCTACAAAGACAAAAGGGGAGAAGGTGGGTCTCACACCTCGTCTACTCTACTCAAGCTGGGGATGGTTCTTCCCCCACATTCAGCTCTTACATCTTCCCTAAGGAGTCCAACCTCTGAAGGGCACCCGGAGTCCAGCTTCCTCATGATCCAAAAACGCAGTACCCTCTTCCCACGCCGTTTCCTTACGGCACTTGAGGATGCAGGCTTAGTTCCCCCTTCTTTGCTAGCCCCAGCCACCTGGCTCACCCGAAAACCTAAGGACCCTGGGTTCCTGGAAACCCCCGGTCCCTTCGGAATCCCCATACACGCTCCCTCCCACCCCCACCCCCCAACAAATACCCCAACTCTTTGGCTTCCCTAACACTGGCTCCAACCTCAAAATCCAGCATGCGCCCAATACCAGTCCCCAGTCCTTCCAAATCCCCTCTGAATCCTCTGGTACCTCGTCGCTCAGCCTCCCCTCTGCTAAAGACTACAATCCCAGGCATCGGCGTACTTCCACCATCCCCGAAGTCCCTCGCATCTCCAACCTAAGGGATCCATGACACCCCCCCACACACACACACGTCCCACCGCCCTGAGCCAAACCCACCACGCCAGCCTTAGCCCTCCCTCCCTCACAGCCCTCCTTGGGGACCTGGCTGCACCTTCCCGGAGTACACAGGAACCACCGGTGCCTCGCCGGGATCCAGCAGCCGCCGGCGCCGCCGCCGGACCAAGGTCTGAGGGGCTCCTGCAGGCCCCTCGTCCGCCCCTGCACTGTCGCTGTCGCTGTCCTGCCCATGTGCGGCCGGCGCGGGGGCCCGGGCGGCGGGCGCTTCTACCGGGTCCGCGACGACTTCCAGGATCTCCTCGTCGCTGTCACTGACCAAGTCCACAAGCACCGTGTCTGGAATGAGCCGGGACAGAGACTGCGGGGCGCGAGGACGCCGGCCACGGGCGACCCGGGCTCTTCGAGAGCCTCGGCCGGCGCCGCCACCGCGGGACCTCGGACCCCGTCTCCTCCCGGGTTCCGCCATCTCTCTCACACAGCTTCTAGACACACCGGCCTCCACAGCCTCGCCGGGCACGCACCGGCGACCCTGCCTTTCATTGGGCGAACAGCTTGCCAGTCAGAACCTCCCCCCGCCCACACGCTCTGGGTCCGCCTACCCACCTTCTCATTGGTCAATTTACCCGTCTATCTACCGCCCTCCACTAACACAAAGGCGCCAAAGATTCCAATCTCTTCGGCGCAATCAAAGAAGGTTTCGATTCTGTACAGCTCACCCATTGGCTGAATTTCCTCCAGACCCAGCCTTCCCCCAGGACCCGCCCTTTGGAGAAATCCGTCTTCCTGGTTGGTGGAAGGCTTGGGGTATCCTGGGAATTGTAGTCTTCGTACTCGGAAGTGACGGGATAAACCGGTTGGCCGGAACATTAGAAGCTGAGGACTAAGGCCTATGACTTCGGGCCTTAATATCCCTTTGTCTCCTCAACCTCTGTGTGACAGGAGTTCCATTCAACACTAAACACTTTCATACATGTCACCTCGGACATCCTCTACTAACACAATTATCAATACAACATATACCTTAGCGCAGCACAACTCAGAAACAAGTTTTAGGGCGAGTACAAATTAAAATAAGATGCTCACTTAGCCGGGCGGTGGTGGCGCACACCTTTAATCCCAGCACTCGGGAGGCAGAGCCAGGTGGTGGATCTCTGTGAGTTCAAGGCCAACCTGATCTACAGAGCGAGATCCAGGAAAGGCGCAAAGCTACACAGAGAAACCCTGTCTCAAAAAACAAAAAAACAAACAAACAAAAAAAAGATGCTCACTTCTTCCCTGTTGCAAAGAGACTTCGAGCTCCTCCCTTTCCTGTTCTTTGAAATACCGATGCTCCTCGATTTATAGTGGGGTTACTTCTGATAAAGGCCTCGCATTTACTACACCTAGCCTACAGAGCCCGGCCGCTCATCAACACAGTTTACTACAGAGCGATTGCAGGCTGATTAGGAGCTGTGCTGCCCCTGGCCAGCACAACATGATGCATGAATAGCTAGTTTGGGGAAAGAAACAACTTCAAAATTGAGAGAGGGGTCCCTACTGCTGATCTATTGTCTGCTGGTCAATACCCTCGTGCATGTAGAGCATCAATTGGGAAAATGTAAGTACTGCCAGTCAGTAACATGTTTGTGCATATGTTACTCCTGAAGTCTTAATAAATCCCTTGCTTTTTCACAACTCAGCAATTCATAGAAGAGCCTTGTCTTTGAAATGCAGGCATCAAAGGAATCAGCTACTCAGGCTTCTGGTTCAAGTGAGAGGGTCAAAGCCTAGATTCAGAGGTGGTCTTGTGTTGGCAGAAGTTTCCTGTCCTGACCATTTGCTCCCAAATAACTGGCAGCCATTTCTCAAATAACTGACTCAGAGACTTAATATAAATTATAACTGCTCAGCCAATAGCTCAGGCTTGTTACTAGCTAACACTTAGCATTTTAAAATAACCCATTTCTATCAATCTATGTGCTGTCATGTGGCTCATGCCTTGTTACCTCATTTTGTACACACCCTGCTCCCTCTGCATCTGGCTGGCATCTCCTCTGATTCTGCCTTTCCTCATCCCATGGTTCTCAGCTTGGCTTTCCTGCCTAACTTTATCCTGTTCAGCTATTGGCCAGTCAGCTTGTTTATTAAGCCAATCATAGCGACATATATTCACACGGTGCACAGAAGGATTATTCCACAGTAGTCTTGTTCCGACATTCTCCTTCGACTGTCATAAATTAGGTTCCTTGTATTACTCTTGCCCCCACAAAGCCAGTTAGCTAATAGAGTTTGTCTCCCCATTTACCATGATACAGTTCAGATGATGGACAGACCTGGAGAGATGCCTCAGTGAGGTAAGAGCCCTTTCAGAAGACCCAGGTTCAGTTCCCAGCTTAGCAGCTTGCAACCACCTGAAATTCCAGTTGCAGGGTATCCAGTGCCCTCTTCTGGCCTCTGTGTGTACCTTCATGCATACAGTGCATAGACACACAAGCAGTCACACACACGTAGACACACATAAAAACAATTTTTTTCTTTGAAGTTAAGATGACTATTGTGGAATATTATTTTAACTAGGCAGAGATGTGTTACATTTGTTTATACTGAATTTGTTTAAGTATATGAAGATGTGTTGCATTTGTTTAATTGTGTAAAGATGTGTTGCTGTGTCACCTTGCCTGCCTAAGGCACCTGATTGGTCTAATAGAAATCTGAATGTCCAATAGCTAGGCAGTAGAGGGATAAGCAGGGATGGTGGGTAGAGAGAATAAATAAAAGGAGGAATCCAGGCTCCAGAGAGAAAGAGAGGGAGATGCCCAGGACCAGCCAGGCAGCCACCAGCCAGCCAGACACAGAGTAAGCAGAGAAGTAGGACATACAGAAGGAAAGAAAGGTAAAAAGCCCCAAGGTAAAACGTAGATGAAGAGAAACAGGTTAAATGAAGTTAGAAGAGCCAGTGGGACCAGCATAAGCTAAGGCCGAGCATTCCTAACTAGTAATAAATCTCCGTGTCATGATTTGGGAGCTGGCTGGTGGCCCAAAAGGAGGCCTGCTACAGATGACTTTGTGTTTTACTAAAAGATGTTATCAGAGGCTGCGAAGATGGCTTAGCGGTTAAGAGCATTGACTGCTCTTCCAGAGGACATGGGTTCAGTTCCCAGTACCCACATGGCAGCTCACAACTGTCTGTAACTCCAGTTCCAGAAGCTCTAATCTTCTCAGGCACTGCATGCACATGGTACACAGACATATATGCAGACAAAACACTCATACACAAAATAAATGAATTTTTAATTAGCTTGGCTCCGTTTCCCCCTGTTGCCCTGTCCTACACAACTGCCTGCCCCTACACCTGTGTGCCTGTCCCACCTGGGCTCAAAGTCACCACTTCCTGCCTTCAGCCCCTGGTTTCAGCCACTCCTTCCTCTCACTGGTCTGGTTAGTTATCAATACAGGCTCTCTTTCAGACTCACTTCTGAAACCTTTTGCTGTTGCTGTTGCTTTGGTTTTGGGGTTTTGGTTTTTTGAGACAGGGTTTCTCTGTGTTGTTTTGGCCCCTGTCCTGGATCTCACTCTGTAGACCAGGCTGGCCTCTAATTTACAGAGATCTGCCTGGCTCTGCCTCTTGAGTGCTGTGATTAAAGGCGTGCACCACCACCCCACCACTTCTGGAACCTTTTGGACTCTGTTGCAGCCTTTTGTATTTATTCTGTAAACCGTATATATGTATGTAGATATAATTTACTGAATGCTGTGTCCTGTGAGAGCTGATACTAGTAATTATGATTGGAATAAAAGAACCTGCATTCACCTTGGCTGGATCTAAAATAGGTGGGTTTTATGTTTCAAATTCCTGCCATTAAAATGTTCCTCAGTAAGTTCTGTTACTGAAAAGGCACAAACATCTTTATGTTTCCAGCATAAGGTGCTTGTGACATGGCTCTGCAGCAAGTCCCCTTACCCACCGAGGTATCTTGCAGAGAATTTATTAATTTATTGTGAAGGGCTGGAGGTTAAACCTAAGGCTTCATGCATGCTAGGCCAGTGTATTAGTCAAGATTCTGCAGAGAAACGGAGCTGATGGGATGAATTCTTCTGTCAAGGTTGCAGCAGAGAATATTATAGTCTCAAAAGGCTTCAGAATATATATATATATGAGATTAATTAGTTTGGCTTACATAATATGGTCTGGGTAATCAAACAATAGTCACTCAGTCTGTGAGGCTGGATGTCTCAGCCATCTCAATCTGGTGCTGAAGGCCTGGAGGGTTTCTGGAGACCTGCTTATCTTCAGTCTATGTTGGAAGCCTGGGGAAGTCGGCTCTGGCATCAGCGTGGTGATGCCCCGGGAGCAGGGTGGATGATGAGCTCGCCAGCAGAGTGAAGGCAGCAGACAAAAAGCAGAGTTTCTTTCTTCCTCATCCTTTATCCGGGATGCTATTCCCACTCCAGATAATCCCTCACAGGAGTTTCCAGAGACTTTCATTTAGATGAACACACACACACACACACACACACACACACACACACACACACACACACACACCTTTTTTTAGACAAGTCTCACTATGTAGTTCCAGCTGGCCTGGTCCAGATCCTTCTGCTGCTTCAGCCTTGTGAGTGTTGGGGTCACAGGTGTGCACTACCACCACAGTTCCGAATGGCATCTTGACCGATGTCCACAGTCCATCCAGGACACCGCTACTACCATTCAACAGTGACAACCCCTCCAACACCTGCCTCAACTCAAAAGCACCTCAGATGCTCCAAGTGACTCAGCCCTGGTCAGGATTAAAGACACACAGCCACCAGCAGGTGGGGCTCTTTTCCTGGGTCTTCCAGCTCTACTCAGCAGCCAAGCTCGACTATATGCCCCGATGCAGACCAAAATATGCCGTCCTGCAGCGTACTTCTTTGACATATTTTTCGGTGATTATTTATAGAAATGCAGATGAATATGTAGCTCTGGAAAGTCATCCTCTGTAGAAGAAACCTCTGTAAAGGAAATGCACTTTAGGCTTGTCCACAGTAAGGCCAAGTGGTGCAGCACACCTGTAATCCCAGCACAAGGAAGATTGAGACAGAAGGATCATGAGTTCAAGACCAACCTGGGCTAAATAGGAAGACTGTGTCAAGATGGAGAGGGAGGAGGAAGGGAGGAAGAGAGAAGGAAATAAGAGGGAAGGAAGGACAGACAAGACAAGAAAATGAAAAGTTAACAGGTGATGTGAGACAAAAGCATTTTCTGGGACCTCACATGGCTTGCCTCTACTTCCCCAAGAAGTCCCAAGCCTGTTTCCTCTGTAGCTCAGGATAATACATAAACTTCAGTCATCTGCCCCCACCACCTTTTTAAGAAAGGGTTCTTGTTCTTTTGTTGTTGTTTGAGACAAGATCTCTATATAACCTTGGCTCTCCTGTAACTCACTATGTAGACCAGGGTGTCCTTGAACTCATAGAAATCTGGTTGCCTCTGCCTTCCAAGTAATAAAATGAAAGGCATGCACCACTTCACTCTGGCCCCACCACTTTTTTGTGTGACTGTCATACATGTGCACACAATTAAAATGATTTTTCTCTTGGTAATCTGTCAAGAGATTTTATCAAACTTTCAGACAGAGAGGAAATTTTTTCCTTATAAAAACATTTGTTTTTGCTTTTAAGTGTCTGGTGTTTTGCCTGCGTGTCTTTCTGTGTACCACATGCATGCAGTGCCCGTGGAGATCAGAAGAGAGCATCAGATCCCGCGGAACTGAGGTT